AGCTGGTACCACCTCCGCCTTTTATTTATACTTCAAAGGAAAGTCATGGTGTCCTTCAGGAGGACCCATCCAGCAGTGTTGACTTCATTTGCAGACCTGCAATTGGGACTGAGTCACGAGACTCAGTGCTGGAGGGCTGCTTGTTTCTTACTGCGGAGCAAGTCTGGCATTTCAGAAGCTCAGACAGCTTTCAACCTCTTTAAAAAAAGAGCAGGAAGAAGCCTCAGCAGCAGCTCTCCTCCCTGCTCTTGGTAGCTGCCTTTACACCGAGGCTCTTGCCCCCTTTCTTAACTAGGTTGCAGCCATGCTTTCAGTTGTATTTCTCATTGATCCAGTCCTGACTGCTGACTCCCTGCTTAGTTGCCTCATCATTATGAACTTGACTGGTGAGCTAGGCTCTTGGCTGAACCTGGAGACTGTTGCTGGACCTGCTATGCTGTCCTTGTTTTGGTACCATGGTGCTTTACTTCTTGTTGGTGAGGCTCCTGCCTCTTCCTGTGTCACTGGCTCTTGGCTCAACATCCCTTACGGAGCTGCCTGCTCCATCCTGCTCTTCCCTGACACCAGCCTGCTCAGCTCTGTCAAATCTGAGGTGTTTCTTTGCAAGACCAAAGGTAGAATTTCTTTCAAGTTGATCAAAACTAGTGTCTCTACAAAATAGGCTAGAAATGAGATGGGGGCTTCACAGCTGAAGCTTTGAATTACTACTTGACACATTTCAGGGAAGTTGCTTCCTTTCTTGCAACATGGAATTCCTCTACCTGAATAAATGCTGACAGCACAGGTATCTTTTGTCTGAGGTTGCTACCTGTGAATTTATAATCAGTGGAGAGAATAAAATATGATTTATGTTATCCCAAGGAAGATGCCTGAGACTAGGTTAAACAAGCTGTTAAGATGATTGTTTCTCTCCACTGATTATAAGAATGTCATGCTATCAGGGTCAGATGTTTTAGGAGGAGACATCTTCACTGAAGACACCTAAGGATAAGTGAGCCGAATCCTATTGTAGATCCTGTTACATAACCCATTTAGCCGAAGGCAACATTCACAAGTGATCTTAGTATTTTATTTCCATGTGCTTCAAAGAGAGAAGCCATTTTCAAAAACTGGAGTCCAGGCCTAAATTTAGATTTCAATTTCAGATTTTTCCTAGAGCAAAGGGCCTGACCCAGGGAATGTTCTTCCCTGCTTCTGCCTTGCACATGCATCATCAGGCACTATGCATTTTGTGAGGACGCTGCTATATATTTTCTAGATCCTAACACATGGCAACAGAAGAGACAGTCAGGGATGACTACAGGCCTTAGCATATTCTTGGCTGGTATCTGAAGACCACAGCCAGCTGGTTTCATTTATCAAGTTGCTCTAAATCTAGATAATCCTGCTGTCAGATCCAGCTTTTGTGACTTTTCCATCCCTCCTGTTTCACTTTCCTCTGAGGAAACAGGGAACATCTGTTTGAACAGCACATGAAGCCCAAATGGCCAGACATCTTCTGCTACTGCTCGCAGCCTACAGGCATAAGGTAATGGCTGCTTCTGCACAAGAAGAGGATGGGAGAGGAAGCAGCTGATTCAGTCACACCTCTCCCTTCCTACCCTACAGCAGCAAAAGCAGCTCTGCAGCTTTCTGCATGGTTAGGAATGAGTTGTAAGTGTTGGTGCAGACAGTATGGTCTAGAGAAGAGGTTAACTTTTGGGTGCCAGATCCATGTTTCAGTTCCTATCTGAGGTCAGAGCACCATATATTTGACTGCACAAGACCTGAGGTCAGCCAAGATTTGCTGTCACCTGCCAGCAACAGCATCATAGCTCTTTGGGCTCCTTCCCAACATTTTATAGCCCTTTCCCTTTCCTTCTCCTCCACCCACAGGGAACAGGTACTGGGAATCTGTGCTTCATAGTTGCTATTTGTAATGTCATATCATTTGTGTGAAAACATTGGATAGGACAATTTTCTTTATTTAGAGGATGAAAAGAAGAAAAGGCAGAAGTCTTCAAATCTCACAGAAAGAGTAAATTGGTCATAAACCACCCTCTGTGGTATGTAAATAGAGCACACCGTAAAATAACAACTGTAATAATACATACAATGCATTTCAATGTTGATTTTAATTAAACGGTTGAATACTGGAGTCTTCTTTCCCTCAATTTTAGCATAAAGCAATTTTAATGCATATACACAAGTTCTTTGATAGCATGCTTTGCTAATAGTAATATGTTATTATATTAACATCAAATAATTACTTGTGATCCCATTAGATAAGTTTGGTAACAATGATTTATGCAGACCTTTTCTTCAGTTCCTAACTAGCTACTTGAGCTACACTATTAATATTGAATGGATGCCTCATATTCAGTGCATTTTTTTAAAATAAAGTTAAGCAAAAACAGCCTAACTATTTCTCAGAAGGCAGATAGGGAAATAAATGTGTTCTTTTGCCTATGTTTGGAGAAATCATGCTGTTATCTCATATAGAAATGCCTGTGCTCTAGAAGCCTGCCTTAAAATTTGGCACAAGTTACAAAGATGACAGGCGTAATCAGTGCTGTATAGGCGTCTCTGAGGCATGCTGGAATAATGTAGATTTCCTTATGTATAAGGGACAAGACAGCTTTAAGGGGTTTGAGGGTAAGGATGGAATATAAGGGTATTTCCTACAGAAACACTGTTTGTGAAACTCTTACAAAAGCTTTGTAGCTTGACCCGCTAAAGCCATCTCTGTCACCTCATGCTCAGCACCACATCAGCAGAGGTAGACAGAAAGTCTCTGAAGCTGCTGTCTGCCCTAGCCACATTTCATCTCTCTCATCTGGTGTTCCCAATCAGATTGTTCATCCATCCTTTCCCTCAAGCACTCCTCCTGTTGCCAGGGGGCTGCCGTGCTGCAGTGTTTGAGAATGTAGAGCAAAACTGTCGTCTCTTCTTCACTCATAGCAATTTCCCTGCTGGCATCGAGATTGTCAGAAAGCAGCCTGCCTCAAATGCAGAGATCTAAAGAGCAAAGAGAGAGTCCTAGGAATTTGGCTAAGAGATCCGGTGAACATGAGGGATGAAGTATGAAGGACGGGAGCTGGGAACAGTGCAGAAAGAGGAGCAGAAAGAAATGTGAAAAGTGCAACGTGGCTCAGCTATCACTGTGCTGTTCCTAGCTGTGCAGGAAATCAGGTTTGGGAGCCTCTGTGCCCTGCTATGTGCAGTGGAAACGTGCTCATAGACAGTTTGCCTGCAGGGGGACAAAAACTCCCGGAGCTCATTTTTGCCTGTTCTGGTAAAGTGACAGAAACCTGCACGATAGATCTAAAGGTCAAAACTCTGCTGATGATGTATATACACTTCTGTAGGATGGATTTTTTTTTTTGCCATTTACACTTAAGAAAAGGAGAATAATCACATTAAAACAAAGAGATGACCAGGTGCTAAAGGAAAGGTAAAATTTGAAAGCCATGCACCCAACAGAATAGTACAGACATATCTATCTGTGACTGATAGCAATGTAATTTCTCTAACTGTGGGTAAAAGTACATTTTTTCTCTAGCTGCCTTCTTAGAAATATTTATAATGAAGGTTTTCTGTGCAAACCTCATTAGTCACTTTGTAAACAGTTATGTTCATTACATGAAGGCATATTTTACCATAGCCTTTTCTGAACCTTGTGATGCATAGAAAGCTGTTGATAAATTTACGCAGAATGTAAAGCAAGAAATTGCAGGTTTCTGAATTCTACTTTCTATGGAATTGAAAATGGGTCTAGTCTCATAGGAATATCTAAAAACTTATTATTTTAATATTACTTTTGTAGCAATGTTCAGGTATGTGTTGCATTTTAGACAGAGGGGAGGGGGAAAAAAAAGGCAGCAACCAAGAACTGTCATTTTCCTCATCAGGTTTTCACCTAAGGTACTGAGTATTTGCAGTTGTAGTTCAGTGCTGTGTTGTGGCAATAAAGGCTTCCTGTCAACATTTTCCTGCATGATTGGTATGCATAAAATTACATCGTGATGGCTGGGACAGAAGCTGCACATGTGTTATTGAGCAGCATCATAGTCAAGGTAAAGGTTAAAGACAGTGCTGACCCCTCTGCATCTTGAGATGGTGGCAGCCCCTGCACAGACCGGGTTTTGCTCTGGGAAAAGACCCTCTAGAGGAAAAGCAAAACTCTGTTGGCTGGACTTAGAGTTCAGCTGGCAACTGAATGAAGCTAACTGTGAAAAAAACAGGCAGTATGTGGAAAGAAAAAGGCAATAAAGCTACTTGGTCTTTACAGTTTTCTTCCATTTAGTATGACATTTAAAGATTTTTATAAGGAATAAAAAAAATTTCCTCTTTGCAACAGCAGATTTTCTGCAAAAATAGAACTGGTGAGAAATATGTACACTGACTTTGCCAAAAATATTTTTTTTTTGTTTCATGAACAAGTCTCAACTACATTATATTACAGTCAGGAAGTTTGATTACACCTTCTAGCTGTTGCATTGTTATTACTCAGTGGGGGCCAGCATTTCACAGGGGAAGGACACAGACCTGTAAGAGGGCACTGCTTGTGTACAGTGCATTGGAGTGTCTCAGAGTTTGCCTAAATTGGTTATTCCTACAGCACTACATAATATGTCCTGAGAGCTACTGCCAGCACTGAGAAATGAGGAGGAAGGGGAAGCACCCCACAAGCTTGCACAGCTTGCGGCAGGAGACAGCCATCGCCTCTGACTTGTCCATTCTGGATCTACATTGACGAGGTTCAGATCTCTAGAGCTCCTTTTGTTCCTGCTGTGTGCCCAACAGCAATAAGCTTTTCCTTACCCTCCAAGGGAGCAAATCAGCCCTATCATTGCTATTCTCACAATCCTTGTTACACCCCATGCTTTTTGAAGGTCCTTCCTTATGCTTCCTTACACTTGAGTAGTTCAGTCACAGCAGCCAGCTATTGGTCAGCCCCAATATGTCTTATTATACAGTTATAACAGTCATATTCTGAGACAGTGTCCAGAGTTTCTTACCTTGAGCCCCTTGACTGTAAAACAGTCTGTGAGCAGACTCGACATCCAAAAAGTAGTCCATTTTCAAGGACCTTGTGTTTGCAAACAAAACTCCTGAATCAATGATCAGTCAGATTCCTGAGAAAAATAATAGAGGTGTCAGACAAAAAAACCTAAAAAAACACAACAAACAAACAAACAAACAAAAAAAACAAAAAAGGAAGGAAAGGATTGTGTATGCACTCATCAAAATACTAAGTTTGAGATATTATGGTCAAAACATTCTCAAACCTGTATTCGTCGAACCTCATAAATGCCCTTTTCTACTTTAGACAGGTTGTTTTATACAAATTCATGTCTATAGCCATAAAAAAGTGACATGTAATCTTGCATTAGCAAATTCCTAGTACATTCACCTTTATCCTAGCCACAGTCTCCATTGCTTACACTATATATTTGATTCACCTGCTCCTTACATTTGGTCTTAAAACTAACATCAAGAAATCTTGTGGCAAGGACTGACCTTAGCCATTCAGTGCCCAGGACAGCAACAAAGCCAGATCCATGGGCAGGACCTCTGAGCAGGCACTACTGTAACTACAGCAAAGCCAGCATGAGTGCTGATTATGCCAAAACTGAACTAGAAATGAAGTCACAAGACTGCACTTTCTCTAGTGTTTCATTCCACCTAAAGAAAAAGGAACAAGCCCTTTTTCCACCCCACTCTTTTCACTGACCACAGACCAAGGTGCAGCAGAACATGCCACCGTCAGTTTTAAAAGATGCAATAAGAGCAAAGATGAACAAATTACAGGACGCTGCAAGCACTGCTTCATAGCTGAAGCTTGTCTTTTGGGCTTTCTCCTGAGCCTCAGATGTGCCTCAAATCGTAATTTACAGCTAGGGTGCACATTGAGCCAGGTTTGCCCCTGCCTCACAGAGTACCTGGGCCATGTTATCATGACCCTTGTCTGATGTTCTTGCTACCTCCTGCATTTTCTTCTGCTCCGAACAACTCACATAAAAATCCAGGATTTGCAGAAAACACACAACCCAGATCTCTCCTCCAAAGCTCAGCGAGCTACAGCATATTATTATAAGCACACAAACAGCTATACACAGCATTTGTTTTACAGACAGACAGACAGACATACCTCTAGTCCTCTTCCATGCAAAACTAACAGAAAGGTGCAGGCAAGAAGACCTCTCTTCAAACAATTCCTTTAACAACTTTGGCCAAAACGAGGAAGTCTGAATTCCCAAATTATTACTTTCCCATTCATTTCTCATTGATTAACGTGCAGTCTTTTCTAAAATTTAGAAGCCGATCCTGATGAGAAAACTTCTAAAATTCCTCAGCAAATCACTTTATTGTAGCACTCCCAAGCCCACAAGCAATACTTACTGCAATACCAGGAGCTGCCTGGCAGTGATGTAAGCTCCAGTAGTTTCAAGGAGGGCTTCTTTGATCTCACTAAATGTCCCCAGTGTAAGCAAACAATTTTGATTGTTTGATTGGAACTCTGATGAATAATGCATAACGTCAACTGAACTTCCTTTATCAGATAAAAATGGCCAGGAGATGTTGTTACTTAGCAACAGGAGGTGACACTACGATCATCTCCCCCACTCCCCCTCGCCCTCCGTACTGGAAAATTAAGCCCCTGGTTTTGATTTGATAAAAACTTTCCAATGGAAAAAAAAAATCTTCTACATCAAGTTTCCTTAAAGATTTGTTTTTCACTCTAATCTTCCTTATTGCATCTCACATGCTCAGATATTTGTGAGTGTTCCATAATGATTAACCATAGCATTTTGTTTTGTCTAATAATTTCCTTTTGGTAACTATAATCCTTTTCTTCATCAGTTACCCCAAAAGTAATGAGAGTGTTAAATATTTTACCATGACTATAATGCAAATAAACAGTTCTTGAAGATATTCCGTTCTTTTTCTGGTACTGCTTGTTGGACAAGGCATACAGAAAAAGCAACACACAAAACATTCCAGTGATTCTATATGAAATATATAGACTATCCAGAAACCTTTCCTACTGCAGAATTTCTACTTTCAGTAATTCATTCATTCTTGTTGGTGTTCTAACATCTGATACAAGCATTTGCTAGGAATCATCGCGTTTCTATATCAGATACAGTGCAAAATGCATCTGTGCAAAATGCACGATGTAGCTTTCTGCAAGAAATATACATTAATCAAAAGTAAAAGCTATATGAAAAAAAATAAATAAAAGCAGATGCAGGAGATAGGTACTTACCAGTGTTACTGACCTCTTTCCATCCTACTGTCATAAATAAGACTAAGCAAATGCAACCCCAGTCTGTGAGCCAGAACAAGCAGCTTCTAATTTTCACTTCAACCTTAAAATCAAGACTACTGAACAGAGAAAGGTGACGGATCTGCTGTTTTATATTATGATGAAATGAAAGCTCTTAGCAGAGATCTGAGTAGTGCCGCTTTTTTATATATATATTACATGAGCCTGCTAATTTGAGGAAAGTGAAGGGCTTTGTTTTACTGTCTTTTATCTGTTCTCTTTGCTACCCCCACAATTTAATTTGCATTTAAAATTATTCTTATGTCTCCACTGCACTCCAAGGTGTGGAGCATTTTCTAATCATGATGAATGTTCACTGTGGTTTTTGTGCAATGCCACTTTTATTCTGAGCCAGTAACATGGTGAGTAATTATAATTGCCAGTTATTTTCTAGAATGAAATACAGAGTGGCTGTCTGATGCAGTTTCTGTTTTTTTTCCTCCATTTAGCAGCATATTGCAACAAACTACTCAGTCAAAGCATAAGTAAAAATATAAATCAGATAACACAGTGTCCTGCCATCATAGCTTAAACATGACCCTGAAAGCAGAATGTGTCTTTCTAGTAAGAATATATTTTCTGAGTTTGAAAGTGGGCTTGGATAGGCAAGGAATCTGAAATGCAGCACAATTACTTTTTGTGGCTTCCAATTCATCTAGTTCAACATTACTGGATTTTCACATTATTTTTTGGAAGCCTCACAAAGCCAGGCACTGGAGACTAGCAATGGCAATGCTATGAAGCTTCACAGGACATCCCTCCTGTAACAGCCAGCAATTTGCTGCTTCCAGTGAATCTTTCAGAAACAGATTAGAAATTGAAGAGAGCAGTAATAATGCGATCCACTCATAAACTTCATCTCAGAAATTCTGGGCACGAGTAGGGTCAGAGAGGGCAATCACACGCAGTCTTCTCATATTTGTTCTGCTTAAGGGGTCAGGTATAGACACTCTGACATACATTGCCACAAAACATTAGCAATGGACAAAACTAGGAGTTCTGAAAAGCTAGACTTTTGTTATCTTAAATGAGAGGTTTTGAAGCTTTTAAGAAGAAAGCCAAGAGGACATAAATCCTCAGAGAACAGGTTCTTTGGTGCAGGTCAGAAAAGAATAATCCCTGTGAGCTCATTATTCCACGGATTTCTTACACGCTTCTTCATTATTCCACTCCAAGATTTCTTACATGCTTCTTCAAAGTACCTAGACGATATCAAAGACAAGCGTGAGCTACATGAGCTTCAGGTAGAATCTGGCCTGGCAGTTCCTACACAAGCATGCTGCTAAATATGGCTGGGTTGAGTAGGAGTGTCACAGTGCCACCTTGGGTGGTGGGCCTGGTTTATACGAACTGTTCCTGTTTTGAGAAATGTGACAAACATTTTCATTCCTAAGCACAAATTAAAACCAAAACAAACAGCAAGAAGACTGCAAGCCTTCCTCTTTATATTTCTGAGACTTACTAACACCTTATTCCATGCATTTTGGAGAGTTTATATTTGCCCCAATGGAGCATAGGTCATTCCAGCCTACCCTCTGATCTGTCTGTTATCTTATAGATCAAGGGCT